GTCCAGCCCCCTGCACAGGCTTTAACAGCAGCCAAGAGAAGCAGTGTAAAAAAAATGTATAAATGTATATTAAAATACCACCCTTTTACATCATCATATACAGCATTTTTCTGGTTTTTGCTCTTCGTGAGTCATTGCTTCTGTGGGAGAAGGTAGTATGGGACTGTGTAATGCGAAGGTGTTTCTTAGTTTCGTAGATAATCAAAATTTTTAAAAAATACTGTTTTTTGGAATTTGATTGCAACTAGCAGAACAATTTTTAACGGAAGGGAAGAAAATCTTAATTTTCTATTTTTTAAAGCAGGCATACAAATCAGAGTCTTAACGCCTTTTTCTTTTTTTTTTGTCACTTGATTCCCTGCTTTTTCCATTTCTAAGCTTTGGGGCGGTCCTGACCCTTTTGCTTTCCCTGAATTATCTGGGTACCAGCAAATATTTTGAATAATGTCAGCAGAAAAAGACCTTTACTCAGAGTTTCAAATCTCAGCTGAGTGCAGAATAGCAGGAGTAAGAAGGTCCTGACCCTGGGGTGGGGAGCGGTGGTGATGCTGTAGGGGCAGGAGCAGGCGGAAGATGTGCTCGTATGTGTTTAGAGAGTTTATAATCTTAAGAATTAAGAATCTACTGAACTTGTACAAATGTGTTTTACAGAGGCTTTTAATTTGAGCAAATTTGGTTTTCTTAGATTATATCTTTTGCCGTCTCTAAAACACAGGCTGTCGCCGCCGAAACTGTAAGTCCTTGCTCCAAAACACTTCAAAGAGAGATTTTAATTCTTAAGTCGGTCTTCCCCTTGTTCCTTTTGGCAGAAGATGTTTCCAAAAGTATATCTATTTTTAAGGTAGCCTGAATCCGATGCCCATCATGAAAACTTTAAGGCCAATTAATTTGGCAATGCAATCTTATGAACAAATAGCTTATATCAGGATCTTAGCAAAAGTTGGCCAACCCCAACAAGTGGCGTTTCTAGCATATAATAAATAAAATACATATCTTTGCTAGCCTGATAAGCAGGAAAGCTATTGATTAAAACCTTGTCTTCAGCTTATTTCCTGAATCGCCGAGTTAAAGTGCGTTTGATCTATCTTGTTTTCAAATCAGCCATATTTTTGCATGTGTGGAAGATGTTGCACTCGCTTTGATCCCCGAGAGATTTGTTTTGGCGTTGCAGGAGCTATTTTTATTTTGCTTTGTGAGCGAAATAAAAATGGTTTGATGAGTGCCACAGTGTTCCAGATCTGCCTAAATGTCACCTAAGACTTGCAGAAGAGACGAGAAGCTGTAGGTGACTACCTGAAGACAAGCCATATGTAATACGTGCTACATATTTCAGAGAATATTCACATTTAATATATGTAGGATAATAAATACAGCAATTAATAACATGATAAATATAGGAACGAATGTTTAAGCACTTATTTTAAATGCTCTGCTGCATAGGAGCGAATGTAAGCACTTAGTACGAGACGAATATTCTGAATATTGCACACCAGGTCGTGACATGAACAGCAGGGACGGTTGGACAGGCTGAGCATCCTTTACCCTGCCACTCCTCGGCAGCTTTAAAAAAAAGAAAGGGAGAGCAAGACATATTCAAAGGGACAAACTGCTGTACAGGTTTTCTTTTGTTTATTTTTTTATTTCAAGGGTTTTATGGACTCGTGGTATTTTAAACTGTCTGCGTGGTGGCATATGGCAATGCAAGATGAATGGCTGAAATTAAAAATAGAAGCGGAAAACTTCTTTTCAAAGCGGACTGTTGCAACAATTTGGGGGGAAATGTGAAATCATACTCTTGAAATTGCAGTGGCTCTTTAATTTGAAAAGAAATAATATTCCCTGATGGTCCTCGGATTAGGTAGTTTGGTATCTATTTAGGATAGTGAGGGGCTTTATCTATAATGTAACGTCATCCAGGATCTATTCTAAAGAATACTTTATTCAAATGGGGGGGGGGGGGGGGGGGG